CCCCCCACTCTCCCCCTCCTCTTTTCCTAAAAATTATATTCAAGTCAATGAACTCAGAAAAGTTATCACTTTGAAAGATAAATGGTGTTAGAACCACCTTACATTTCTGCAGGACAAGGTTTATCAAATACAATCTTTTACATGATCAAAAGCAAAAATTACGCGTAGCTATTTTAATACTTTCCTAATGGGGTGAAATTTTTTTTTTTTTTAAAGTTTTTTAAATAAAAATTGACAACTACTAATCTAAGATTGGTCAACCGTAGAGTCCGTAGACCCCAATTTTTAAGGACTTTTTGTTTCAAAAGCAGCAACTTGGGCCTAAATCAGTGAATACTTAGCCAACATTTCTCATACCATTATATCATTATCATTTTCAATACATTAGTTTTTCATACTTTCCACTAATCACATTAAGGTTCCCAGTGACAATAATATTATGAACTTATAATTTAGTGCTTTTTTTCTCGGACTATTGACATGATATTATGTCCCAGAGACACTGATTTCTATCAGCTGTTCCAGCATACCTGAAAGTTGGCGCACTTCAGATAGGTTGCTGAACCGCACAGACTTAGAGCTACCCCCAGCTGTGAAAAAAGAAAAGGGCAAACAAAATGATTAATAAGACCTAAGGAGCACAATGAATATAAACTAAATAAAACTTGTATCACGAAAAAGGGCATGAACTCTGTTCCTATACTCTAGGAGCAACCAACCTGAATCAGTACAATTCAAACTCCTTTCCTTCAAGAACGAGACAATTAACAATTTTTCAGGAACACCTGTTACTTATTCCTTATTCTTTTCTTCTAAAGTCTGAAAATGGTTTCTTGTCTTCTTACTTCATCTTTCTTGAAAAAACAAAACTGCTGGAACTTTTTAACTTCACAACACAGAATCAATGTTACTTTTTAAAAGTTCCTCCTTCCCTTCTAAAAATCATTGCCTGATCCATTTTATTTCACAGAAAAAATTAAAGGACAGAGCTAAACGGAAGGAGCTTGTATGTGGCCTATACCCTGCCAGAGGTGAAAGGCATTGATGATGATGAAAGTCTACGAAGAAAATGGTTTCTTGTCTTCTTACTTCATCTTTCTTGAAAAAACTGCTGGACCCGTCTAACTTCACAACAAAGAATCAATGTCTTTTTCAAAAGTTCCTCTTTCCCTTCTAAAAATCATTGCCTGATCCATTTTGTTTCACAAAAATAGTAAGTTTCTTACTGCTGGCATCGTCGGACTCTCCCCCACTGGTGTGACTATCGTAGTGTTCATACTTGACAGGTACATAGATTGGAGATCCCTGAAATGTGGTCAGTAAAAAGGTTAAACTAAACACACATTAATGATAAGCAAGAGCATAAGACATTGCAATTTATTGTTGGTGTCTCAAACAATCCACTTAAGTCCGTCTGGGTACTTTTTACACCAGAGACAAGTAAACTAGTATTTGTTGTGTTGTTCCTATCAGAAATCATGAAGAGCAAGAAAATGTACGCCTTAAGGGGGGAGCGGAACCCCAATAGTCCCGATTCGGCTCAAAGCTATGAATTTTAAGTTGTAGGCATTTTTAGTTTCTTCAGCCTCTCTTAAAACTATTTCATTAATTAAGAACCCCCTAAAGCCTTATTTCTTCCCATACCGGACATGTTTGTCACTACCATTTCCTTATAAAGTCTATCTTTAATTTTCTTTATTGCCCAATTTCTCGAAACGTGGTTTTTCTATATACTTTTTAAAATAACTCCACCATTTGTCATTCAATCTTCATGAAATTTTCACAAAATGAAGAAAAGATGTAATACTAAACATTTGAGTGATGAATTTTTGATGTATGGTATAGTTTTTTGTTGGTGGTGTTTAAAATGTGAATACTACCCCACAAAAAAATTCATTAAAAATGTTCTAACACATTTAGGAAAAATTAATCCCTTAGATTTAAAGATCTATTGTTTGCCAGGATGCACGCAAAAAACCCAATATATTTCCATTAGAGCGGCATTAATCACGCAAGACTTGTCAACAAAATCCAATATGGCCACCATATCCATGGAACCAGTTTTTTTATCTAAAATTTGATTTGGATTTTAAAGATTCCTTACTATGCTTGTTATATATGTGAAATTTGGTAACATTTGATCCACTATTAAGCGAGATAGCCTTCAGGTGCCACACACACCCTCACCTCCACCCCCCCCCCCCCTTTAGCATCTTTGTTTCAAGACTCAAGAATGAAGAATAACAGTATGTTTAGACAAACCAGATTTGTCAAGCCAATCCACAACTCTTCACTCAGTACCAAAACATTCTGTTCCTTCAGCACAGTCTCATTGGAGCAGCTGATGCTGATGTAAACATTAACAGGATTGCCAACTTTTTCAAAACCTAATCAGGGACACGCAATATTATATCAGATTGCATAATAGAGAACAAAATGACATCTACTGGCCTGATTTTCGTGTAGTGTATGTGATAAGGTTATAGATGGTCACAGTAAAGATGTTCATTTACCAGCTTCTTAACTGCGTCACTGACACTGAATGGAATCTTATCCCACCCCCGCCTGCTTTTTTGTCGTCACAGTATTGTGTGCGATTTTGAGAAAAAGCAAAAGCCGACAAACATTAGAAAAAATGTTGGAAATTTGGCACACCGAAGTGGTGGAGGTTTCAATGTCTCCTGAGATTCCGATTCCCGACAGCCAAATCCAGGGCAGTAGTGGGAAATTCGGAACAGTTGGCAAGCCTGCTTTAACAGAGAGATTAAATTTTCCTGGCATGGGATACTTGCTGCATTAATCTAGAGAAGATGGTTTGCAAATCATTCACTTTTTCCTAATTCATGAGAACGAGATCTCAAACAGAGACTACTATATGTTGCAGGAAAGATAAAAAGTTCACTAAAGAAAAGTATGGAAAATAAAATCTTCACAGCCAATCGCTGTCACTCCCCCCCCCCCAAACTCCCCTCCTAACCCCGTTTTCCTGTTTTCCTTCCAATCTTGTTTTGTTTTTGTTCCAATCCTTTAATTTGAAATAAACTTTCACACAACATGAAGAAATTATGAACTTACAATCATAGCATCTGCTTCTACTGGAGGAGAGATTGGTGTGGTCTCCTCTGAGAAAATCTGAGGAGCAATTCAAAGGTAAGTATTAATTAAGTTTCTGGTAATAAAAATTAGGACCTTCATAATTTCTTAAATTTCATCACAACAAAGAAAAAGAACTCACCAAAAAATGAAATGATCATAAAGACAATTTACAAAATAATATATTTTCATATCACAAAAGAAAAGCTAAACAAACGAAGCACAATAAAATTTGAAGGAATTCAAAGGATGTAAAAACAATTTTTTTTAAATTGAAAAATTAAATAATGACTGAGACATAAGTCAAGTCTAATAGGCAATTCTACTGTTGATAAAAGACCTAGAATATAAACCCCCAAAAAAGCAAATATGAAAATTAAATGACAATTCAGCTTCAATAAAAAGAGCATACTTGTCACACCAAATTTAAGTCAACTAGCTCAATCCCATAATTTTGCTCTCCTTCAAAAAGAAAACCAGATTCCCAATTTCACTGAACTCGTTTAAGACAGAGTAAACAGACAAAATGTTATACGAAGGTACAAACAAAGAACATTAACATCAACAGCAAATACTATCTCTGAGAATTAAATTGAAGGTAACAACTCTTAGGGCTATTGAATATAGATTATTTTCCTCATGGAAACGGTAAATATTATGTGTTTCCATATAATTCACTTGATAATGATAGTACTAGATCTACTAGGATGTACAGAGGCTTGGCACATGTTTTTAAAAAAGTCTTTAAATAGCAGTGCAACGTCGTTTTCAAAATTTTACCTGGAACTTTGTGCCATATATTTAATCTCTCTATAAAAGAAAAATAATTCAGAAAAAAACAAGAATCCTATTCTGTTTTAATAACGCTGCACTTCCTTAAAGTCCTTAAACCCAAGCGGCCCCTCCTAACAGCCCAAGCTTCTTTGCAAAATGAAGAGCGACCGCACCCAGCAGCCTGAGCCAGTGTGATGAAACGCGGTACACGCCAATTTCTCATCTTGAATGCAACAAAACTTTGTGTAAGGCTTCTCTGTGGGAAGCTACTCTCCTTTGTCTTTTTGTCAATGAAATTTTGTCAATGTTGTTCTTTGTTTTCAGTGAAGCACATGTTGGTAAAGCAGTAGAACGTCAGTCGAGTCGAGTTTGAAAAAAAAAAATCATCAATCCGTGGAAATCAATGAGTTAAGACGGCATGTGTGAAGTATACAGTGTCATGTCTTAGAATATGAAAAAGTTTTGGATTAAGCATGACTATGCATCTGGCCTTTAAAAAAAAACAATTTCCGAAAAGTGCCTCTAACACAAAAGAAATTCTTCTTAGCATACTTTCAAATATGTTGTGAAAAGAATGAAGCCTAAATAAGATAGATTCCATCAAGTTCTGAAATGGTGTCCTCACCTTTTTGCGGTAACATTGAACTCTCCACGGTCTCCATACCAGAAAGCCAATAAGATACATTGCGAACATCACAGTCTTCACATAAGTTGTGAAAAACGGTTTACTGAAGTCTGTATCCTTAAAAATGTACTGAAAAAAACAACAAAAAAGTACACTTGACTTTATGGTACTGCAATATCATCACATTAGCTAAGTAACAATGGAGAATCCAGATCATACAAAAAAGACTTTAACAGTTCAGGTCTTACACTGACCTGAGTACCCTTCAAGGACATTAATTTCCCTTCCTCTTTAGAACCTGTCCAAATTTGTATGAATTAAAACAGCATTCAGTTAACTCACCTGCACACCTAAATGTTTCCTTTTCAACTATCATGGAAAGACTCTTTAGTTAGTTTTACTAGAGTGTTTTACGGCGCTCGCAACTGCATAAGGTCATATGAGCACCAAGGGGTGGGTGTCAAGAGAGAAGTCTTTACAGGGAATCAGACTTACTCCGCTCACCTCTCTAGCCTCAACAGCACAAAATCTGCTTCGACTATCAAGGCACCCCGGAAATAGCAGGTCACAAGAGTGTGACAAACAGACAAGAGAAGCAGAGGAAAATGACAATAGTAAAGATCAGGAAAGAAAAAGCAGCAGTTCCCTGTTGTAGATCAGGCACAGTTATGAGCGTGTCATGAGTCAGCCCATTTACAATTCTACTATGCTTGAACGAGAAATGTCCCCTCTTTGGGAATGGCCTAAACACACTATAGTCAGAGGCACTGCCAGGGGGGGGGTGGAAAGACTCTGACGGTGAGTTCAATATTGTACAGCAAGGGTAACCAAATATTTTTCAAAGTAGGCTGGATTTATTAAAAATGCCGAAAGCAGGCCAGAAAAGTATTTTGTTCAAAACAATAATCTGAGTAACATATAAAGTCAAGCAAGATATTATCTAGAAGTTAATCAGTTAATAAGTCCACTGATGTACAATAAGTTTGCACTGTAGAGTTAAATATTGTTTAATTTTTATGACTGTGGCCTAGTCTCGAGCATGCTACAAACACATCTTCCAGTTTTGTTTCCCCCCCC